TTATTTCATAACACAGATATGCACATAAATATCTTTATTTATGGCTCCAAAGGGTACATCATCGAAGCAGTTGGGACAATGCTTGTCTATAGTAGAAAAAGAAAAAAGCAACACAATTCACGAGGGTCATATCTTAAAGAAAAGATTGTATGTATAAAACTCGAGAAACTATTTTTCCGACTCAAAACCTTAGCATCAAAGTAAACTAATCAAACTGTATCTGTGATTATGTATTGAGTTCTATGCGTCGCATATGTATATATATAGACTAATAGAGTGGTGATTCCGGCGAAATGCACACATATATTAAGGGAATGATGTAGCTCACTTTGGAAAGGTTAGGGAAGAGTTGGCGGAGCCTGTTGAAATGATGGTTGATTCTCTCTCTTCGCCTCTGCTCTGCAATGGCGTGTTTCTTGAAAGCTGCTTCTGTTTTTTTTCTTGGGGACTTTGATCCTGAATTTGAGCTTGAATCTACACCATCCATTGGCTTCTTCATGTACTTTGGTTCTTGAATGACTGCCAAATTAGCCGTGACAGCGATGAAGCATTTTTTCTACTGTCTCTGTGTGTGTGAGAGAGAGAGAGAGAGAGAGAGAGAGAGAGCTAAATAGGAGGTGGGTCAGAGAAATATTTCCATTAATTGCAATTTAAAAGAAGCAAATAATAGTATGAAGCAAAAAACAGAAAGATCTCCTCGATCATCTATATGTCTGCTTGTGTGTAGTACAATAGAACCTGAATACATGTTGTTTATTAAAGGTGAGGATCTGAAGATCAGGAAGAGTTGATATGCATAAAATGAAATAGCTAATACCAAACATTAGCCCTTATTGCTGCATCTTCCATTCCACCCATGATATATTCACAAAGTGAAACTGTATTTAAATCAATAACTCTCTCTCCCTCTCTACATGTGAGTAGGAGGAAAGAGGGGTTTTTTTTTTGTGTGTGTGTTGTGGGGGGGAGGGGGGGGGGAAGCGTTACTCAAACACACCCAAGTAGGCTCAAAACAAGATCTCTAAACTGGGTCACACCTTCTCCAGACCGAGAACATATTGGTTCTATTATCAACTCCCGTCTGTGTTGCAAATAGTAGAAACCTGACTGTCAATGCGACACCTGTCAGGTGAAATATTTTCCTAGTATAAATACATCAATATGCAGAAGGTAGTCATCATACATAGATTAGTTTCTCATTAACAAGGGAAGAAAGTTTCACAAGGAATGTTTGTTGGACTCGAGTACACTCCAACGAGCTAGTTGCAGCTATCAGGAACACTGATAGTTAACCACATTCTAAAGAATGATACTTCGCAAAATGAGCTTGAAAAACATCAAACTATTAATAGCCGCCACAAGAAGATGAAAGGTGAACAAAAAGTAGTAAATCCACAACATGCCACTAGGTCAATCTTGTGGCAGTCAGTCATGAAGAATTGGACTCATAGAAATGTGCCCATTTCGGTCAAATGGAGACCCGGAAGGAGCAACCAAACCAAGAGTTTGCATGACTTTGATTCTCCGTGCACTCAGTTCTTGAGATTTTCCAACTGACATTGTTGCCTGAGGGTTGCATTTAAAATCGTGGGTCAAGAAATGAAAGATACAGCAAGCTAGGGAATCCAACGGTGTATAAAAAAATGATATATACTCACAGATTTTGGCAGTCCACTAGGTTTTGTTTTCCTCTGCATCTCAGCATTCTTTGCCGTTTGTGATGTCTTGGGAGAATGTACAAGCTTCACGTAGAAACACAACTTCATTGTAAACAACAGTATACAGAACCAAACACAAGGTGAGTGAAAAAAGAGAATAAAAGGAAAAGACTAGGGGTCATTGGTTACTCGGCTTGGTATTTATCCAAGAATCAAAATTTCCTTTCGTTTCGTTTAAATAAAATGATCGACAACATTTTGGTTCAGTGACCAGTACTAGTCCGTTATTGGTAATCAGAATAATCCATATTCCAGAATATTTCGGAAACAAAAATTCAAATTTTTTTTTGATTTCATTTCTAAAATGACCGAAATTATGCACTGCAACGAAATTGTGATCCTTGAATTTTTCTGCACCAATTGNTGCCAGAATATTTCGGAAACAAAAATTCAAATTTTTTTTTGATTTCATTTCTAAAATAACCGAAATTATGCACTGCAACGAAATTGTGATCCTTGAATTTTTCTGCACCAATTGTGATTCATGGATTTTCTTCTTCATTCCTTTGCAGTAATTTCTCAATTTGAGTTACTATTCTGTACCCTTTTTGTGGTCCGCTGGCACAAGGTAAGGGCTTCCCAAAGAAAGCTAAGGCTCCATTGTAACGCAATGTACCGGTCCACAAGATTCATGAACAAATTTCAGGGGGAACCATGCACTCACATAGCTTGGGCCATTTGGCTCGAGTTTCTTCTGCCCACCATCTTGTTTCCACTTGTTGTTTTTCGCTCCCTCAGCTTTTTCTGAAACTAAATTGCCATTCTTCACTGAGGGTTGGGATGTACTGGCTGCTGAAGGTCTTCTTTGTGACATTCTCACCTGAGGTGAAGTTCATGTTATTAAGAAAATATAAATGTCACCTTTAACAATCCAAATAAGAGAGGAATCACAGCGTCCACAAAGAAATAAGGCCACCAAGGCTGTGTACTCACACAGATCGTCTGATCTGTTTTGGGTTTCTTCTGCAGCCCTTCTTGCTTTTGTTTGCTGCTCCTTGCCATGGTATTTTCTGTAATTTCCTCAACAAAGGTAATAACTTGAACCTTAACCTCAAGGATCACAAACCAACCATGCTAAGGGAAAACCAATCTGCAACACTAGTTCTTCATACATACTATCAGCAAGTTAACACTATCTTATTGATAACTAAGGAAAAACCAGATGGTTCAATCAGAGGATTTTTATTTGTCATTGATATTTTTTTATTTTGGCACCTCAGAAGAAGTGCATTTGCAAAGCCTGCCAAAAACAGAGAAGACTCAACAAATCAACGTTGCAATTTAAATTTTATGTATGTATTATATAGCAATGATAATGATTTGGGGAATTAACTGCAATTTTTTTATAAGCAAAGTCTCTCTGATTTACTTTGTTTCTGCATAGGCAAACAATCAGATAAAAATGATTGTCATCAATTCTTTGGTTTAAATTGTACATTGAAATGGTTGATGTATCTATTGTTACATCAAGTACAAAAAAACAACATACAGATAATTTAGCAATTTTTGATGTGTGATTTCCAATACCACATATAATAAATATCCAATAGTATTTTGTGAATTTCATAATATAGTTTTATAGTCTTGAATTTTATCAAGATATCACCATTGAAAATACACTAAAAGGTGTACCTGTGGCTAGGCTTCTTGGCATATCTACCAAATTTAGCATCTGAAGACATGCAGTTAGGTTGTATACAAGAACCAGGACAGAAATACAACCAACGCAAAGAGTGGGGCAGGAGAAAACATTAAGAACTTGATTACATGAGAGAACTGGCTAACCTCTGGATTTCGATTTTGTGCCCTTTGAACCTCTAGATTTGAAGCGGGAAAATTCCTGTAACCATATGCCGTTATAGAGAAGACATCATTTACAAGAAACTAAGGTCATTGGATACCTAAATCTGCAACTTGTTAACCAATAACCTTCTTACTGGTAACAAAGGGAACAACAAATTACCAGATCTAAAGAGTTTTTTAATATTTCCCTATAACTGCCATTGCTTTCCTTGAGTATCTGAAAAATTGGAAGATATTGTATCATAGGTTTTGGAGCACTGATGCAACTGAATTGCATCACAAAGAAAAAAATCACAGATAGAAACCAACATTTTCAAACTCCAAGCGGCTTCCATGGGGATCTACATACAAACTGCACAAAGAGAACAAAATTTACTAAACCTCAAACAATGAGCAAAATTAATGAAATATATATAAAAAAAAAAAAAAAGGCAAGCACAAAAGCACTGACTATTTATAGCTTCCATATAACCGAACAAGAACTTCACCAACAGATCTATTACCGGGTCTAGTGCTACCACTCACTGTGTTCTCATCAAAAACCTATTAAACAGATATGTAAAAAACATATAAATGCTGTCCCCCACAAAAACAATGAATCATAGATATTGTGGCAAGAATTAGACACTTTTAAAAATGACAGACAAACAGAAGAAAAANTGTGTTCTCATCAAAAACCTATTAAACAGATGTGTAAAAAACATATAAATGCTGTCCCCCACAAAAACAATGAATCAAAGATATTGTGGCAAGAATTAGACACTTTTAAAAATGACAGACAAACAGAAGAAAAATTGAAATCATGTAGACTCAAAAACCTCAATGGCACTCAAATTACCTGTGCAGGCCACCAAGTCGAGCCATGGAGCCGGACCCATATTAAATCACCAAAGTTGACCTCCCTGGTTGCTTGATTAACTGCAGCTTCCTCCTCACATTCCTTTTCAACAGAACTTCTGTTACTTGCCTGAGTTTCAACTTCCATAGCTTATCTTTGCACTTGCAGTGATCTAATTTGGCATTCAAGGACATCAAAAATAATATTCAAGCATCACTTAATTGCAATGATACAAGTCAACTAATCTGAAATTTAGAATTTGTATTTCTCAAGTGGGTAATCTAGTTTATATTGTTTGGTTTATAAGATCAAATACACTTTCTACCCAAGGAAACAAAATTGAGAACATTAGTAATTGAATGATGCATCCAAACAGAAACTGATGATCTATTCCATCTTGGTACTACACATAAAACAATAATTTTTGTTGGGTATTATATACAATCACCAACATTGTAGCTTCAAGTTCACAAAAAGAAGGAAAAAAAAGCTGCAGACATGTAGATTTCGTAATTCCGTAGGTTTCTCATGTAGACATTTACAGACTAAAGCTATATTATGACGCTCTACCAGAAAAAAATAATAAAAAAATGGAACCATTCGCTACTCTTGCACTAAGAAGATAACCATTCACCTCCTAGTGATCACAGGAATGATATTTCCCACTAATCTTTGCTAAACGCAAACATATATACCCTCGGAACTTTCAACCCCAAAAAGGTTAAACTTTTCTACGTACATTACATTGAATCATAAAAAATAAGTTTCATTTTTCACCGAATAGACACTTAAGCTAAACGATAGTCCCCTCGAGGAGAGTGCAGATCATAATAGTCGTGTCCTGAAATCGCTGCCCTAGCACGCCCAAGCTCTAAAACATGTGATCAAACAGATATAGAGACGAAAATGAACAACCTAACGAACAAACCAAAGAAAACGAAGCACATCCCCCCAAACCCCACCATGGTTATCATTCAAAGCCAAAACTTTCGAATGCTTCTTCTATTTTAAGAGAAGCCTAAACAACAACAATAGAGGTCAGAGCACACTTACTTGTAGAAGAGAGAGAGAGCTTCAGCCAGAAAGAGAAAGCCCACTCAGATTCTCTCTCTAGAGACCGCCTGTAAAACACACACGCAGAGAGAGACAGAGAAAGGAGAGAGCAGAGAGAGAGAGTTGAGGAAAGGAAGCAGGCTTTTATCTATTGGATCTGGGTATTTTTGTCCTTTCACATGTAATGCCGGTTTAGCTTCAGTCTGAGTTGATTTTAATACGAAGAAGGACACTTCAATTTACGGTTAATTATAAAATATCCCCTTAACTTTAAATAGTTTGTCATTCACCCTTATAAGTTTTAATTTTAATAAATATTTTCTTTTAAGATTGAATATTTTGTAATTAATTTTAAACCATAAAAAATAAAGTAATTCAGACATAAGAATTTCATATGATTTCACATTATTGAAAAAATATAATTACTCCCGAAAAAGAGTGTGAATACTCGTACACATGTTATGCAATGTGTTAGTATTGGATTAAATAGATATATTTTTTCTTGAATTTTATAATTTTTTAAGTATAAAATTGATATCAAATCAAAAAAATAAGAAAAATAATATATAAAATAAAGAAAATAATAATACTTTCATANGAATACTCGTACGCATGTTATGCAATGTGTTAGTATTGGATTAAATAGATATATTTTTTCTTGAATTTTATAATTTTTTAAGTATAAAATTGATATCAAATCAAAAAAATAAGAAAAATAATATATAAAATAAAGAAAATAATAATACTTTCATACTTCGACCACTATTGAAACAGACAAATTACAGTATGTACAATTATAGAGAGTTGATTGTTATGAGATGCATAGCTGGGGAGGATAAATTGTAATTAACCCTTCAATTAAATTCCCCTTGACCGTACGATTACAAAGCTTACGGGTCNATAAAATAAAGAAAATAATAATACTTTCATATTTCGACCACTATTGAAACAGACAAATTACAGTATGTACAATTATAGAGAGTTGATTGTTATGAGATGCATAGCTGGGGAGGGTAAATTATAATTAACCCTTCAATTAAATTCCCCTTGACCGTACGATTACAAAGCTTACGGGTCCCACCGAACAAAACCCATCTACAACCGTTGATCTAAAAACCTCTGGCTTGATTCGCTACCGTACGCCGTCTGCGCATTTCGGCCCTCATCGCTAACAGACGTCGCTTTGCAGAGTTCGCTCTATTCAATAAACCATTAAACCCTGAACTGTCTTCGAGTTAAAACCCTTCCCTCGATTTTCTCTCTCTAGGTTTGAAGGTCAGAAATCTTTCTTTTGATGAGTTTGTCATTCGTATTTATACATAGCTATACTCTGAGAATTTAGGGTTGTTTCTGCCATTTATGTGAGAATTTATTCTCTCTCTCTACTTATGTATACATAGGGGTTTTGCTCTGATATGCCCTAATTATTATTTTTTCCAACTGGGTATTTCGATTAACAGTTGGAAGAGTAAAGGGTTGAAAAATAAAAGCTCGTGATTGAAAGTAATGGTGGATTGGTGGTGGTCTTTACTCGGAGCCGCCGTGCCTGCGATGGTGGCAGGACAGGCTCTGAGGATGAAGAATAGGAGACACGAAGAGCAGAGGCTGAAGGGTGTTGGTGGGCGAGAGAAGAGCTCCGACGATATATTTGTTTGCGAGAGGGTTTGTACTTCCAAGAGAATGCTCAAGAAGGTTGGTGCATTTTCTAAGGACCCAACTCCTGATACTTGCGTTACTGTTTGTGGTGTCTCTGAGCTTGATGCTTGTGCCGATGCATGTGCTAGAACTGTTTGTGTTAATCAGCATCAAGTGCCCAATTGGAATGATAGCTGTCTTAAGAGGTGTCAAAGTGAGTGCCTTAAGCTCTCTAATTCTTCTGCTAAATCTTCATAGTCTTAATCTGGGTTTTGTTACTTGGAATTTTTCAATGACTAGAATTGGATTTCTATGAATTTGTGGATGCATTATTGTTTTAATTGAATTTAGTCTTTTGGATAATTTGCTTCCTGTACTGAAAATGCTACTTTTTTTTCTTTAGCTTATAGAACATTGCAAATTATCGATTATTCCATCAGTTAAAAGTAACTATTCTTTGGTTCGTCTTCACACCCCCTTTGTTTCGAAAAGAGACGGAGCGGGCTACTACCTCAAAATGCCCCACCCGTCGGTTCGATTTGTCGTTGGGCTCAAAATCTTCCTTGCTAGTTCCTAGAAACTCATTTATTTATTTTTTTTCCCAAGTGCTTTAGGTGGTAGACGGCACAGCTCACAAGCCTTGTGAAAAGGCAAGCGTCTTTCAATTCATTCGAAGAACAAGGGTAGAGTAGACTCGACTGTAGAAGCAGGGTCATGTTTCTTTCTTTTTCTTTTTCTGGTGCCGAGGACAAGCCATTTGTCCCATCGTCAAGGCTTTCTGTTCCACGCTTCTTCCATGGGTGGATATAATGCTTTTCCTTCCTCTAGTTCGACAGGTGTATGTGCAAGAAAAGGGCTTCCATATTGGTAGTTGTAGTTGGCTCTCATCCCACTCTAAGTCAATCCATGAAATTAAAGTGAAGTATACAAATGAAACTTCCAATGGTTATAAACTTCTGTATTTTGGGGAGATTGGGTTACTCTAACAAAGTGGAATCATTGTTGAACTGTGTTGAAATGTTTCAAATGATGAAGACCTTGGACGCAGGTTTGAAATGTAGAAGGAGATATGAACTATGAATCAAATTGTTGGAAGCATAGGTTGATGGAATTCTATATCGGGTTGCAACTTACTTGGTTTCTTATGGATGGAACTCTTTCTTCTTTCTTTGTTAATCTTATTCATGTTTGAATCTTTGCAATGAAAGAGGATGTCCCTTCTCAAACTTTTCCGGGTTCTAGACTGCGAAGTGGGGCAGGTCTTTATCTTGGGTGAGCATTTGATACAGTGATCGGATTGGTTAAATTTGCTCAATCCTTTGCAGAATTGCAATCTAACCTCAGTACAAATATAGAGCATATATGCTATACCATTGTATTTTGTTGTTGTGATGAGAATTTTAAATATTGCCAGCCTCGTTATGCTTGTGGTTGTGATTCTACTGCATGCTCGAAAGATGTTGTCCTGGTGAGTGAGTTCTTACTAAGGTAGGTTCCTAATAAGTAAAAGAGGACACTCATACAGGTCTGTGTTACCCAATAGGTGCCGGTTTTGTTGATTGGAAGGGTTGAGTATTCTGTCCGAAGAGGTGCTAGATGAAGGGGTGGGCTACTTGAGCTTAAACTTCCATATTAGCTGTTACCATGAATTGATCTGTTCCTCTACCTTCTTTATCAGTGTGTTCCCCAACAGATGTCGGAGACATTGATTGCCTTATTGCTATGTGTTTGAAGAAATTCCTAGCATGTCTGTTGGTGGTGTGTTCTGTTTTCAGCCATGATAACGATATTTGTAATTTCACCCCATAAACCATTTGCTATGGCAATACCAAGGCTTGAAAAAAGACCTCTTATAACGTTTTCGTCCGATGCAGCGCATGGAACTGAAAATAACATTGTAGATTATCGATCACCTTTGGTTTGGCTTGGTTTGTTATGGCCTACCTCACTACTAAGTGCAGAAAGTGACACATCAGAAATGGGAAGGAAAATAGAGGAGTGTGATGCAGGTTATTGCTACCTCACTAGCAAGCTTATATTATGCTTGCAAAAGGTGTGCCATTTTTTTTTTTCAATAGCCAGAGTGTTCAGCTCAGTTTCTGCATACTCGCAGTAGATAAATCCTTCGTAACCCAGTTCAAAAAAAAATTATCGAGATTCGAATTTAAGATGTCTACCTCTTAAATTTTGAGTCATTTGATTTTGTAAAATCGGTAAGCTCTGCTCAATATAACTAGAGACCAATCATCTAATTCTTGCCAAAATCATATTCCTGCTGGATTATAAGTTAAACAGTTCATCACTGAAGCAGTCAGTTACAAGGCAAATCTACATTCTTCAAGCATCTAAGCCCTACATACGCTACATATAAACAAACAAACTATAACCATGCCTACAGGCTTCCCAAACCCATATCAACTTCACTTTCCAAAATGCTAACGGCAAGGGGTGGAGACATTTTTGTTCTCAAAACGACGACGTAATCACACCATTTCAACCCATTGGGCCCCCCAAAAACCCCTAATTACACCTGCACAACCTTCCTAGGCCTACCTCTCTTCTTCTTAGCCATGGTACCAGCCGGAGTCACATTCACTTCCGCCACATTCACAAACCCACCGCCGTTTCCACCACTCGGCCAGACCGCTGGCTCCGTCGTCGCCGTCCCACCTGTAGAAAACGTGGGAGGCACCCAAACTGGAAACCCCCCACTTTTGCCAACCTCCGACCCCGAAACCGTAAACCCCATCGGAAAAAATCCCCAACAGCAATTATACGCTTCCTTCCCCGGCACCAATGGTGGCATCTCCGGAATAGCCACCGCCGAAAAAGCCCTCTCACAGTTCTGACACCTCAAACAACACCCCTCGTAATCCCTGGGATACTCATACAAGTTGTAACAGTACGGACACGCCGTCCAAAAACTCGACGTTTCCTTCTCCCCGCCAGTACTCGCCGGCGGCGAGCCCCGTCTCACCGGAAATGTCTGATGATCCTGATCTTTTTGACGCTGTTTTGGTGGTGGTGGTTGTTGCTTTTGAAATTCTCTCTGCTTCTTCGTCGCCACCAGATCGATCTTCGAGTACAGACCCAACTCATTGTCAAACAGAAACTTCTTTTTCGAGTCCGACAACGCAGCCCAAGCATCGGCGACCAGCTTAAACGCAGTGTCAGAGAAAGCGTACCTGTTTTTGTCCGGATGTAGAAGAAAAGCCAGTCGCCGGAACTGTTTCTTGATGAGTTCGAGGTCGTCGGAACGGCGCTCGAGTTGGAGTATAGCGTACCAGTCGTGGTGGTTGTTGATCCGCTTATCGGCGGCGAGAAGGACCTGGGTAACGGCCAAGATCTGATCTGGGCCGTCCAGTAAGGGTTCGGCTTCTTGGGCTAAGAGTGCGAACTCTCTTGAGCCGTTGAGATCTCTGTTGAGTAACAGCTTCTCGGAGATTCCGAGCAAGCGTTCAGCTTCGGCTCTGCTGGTGTTGTGGGGGTGTTCCATTTTCGTTTGCTTCGATTTCGGATTTGTGTCTGAAATGAGGAAGGATAAAAGAAAGCACTGTTTGGGTTTGAGAGCAATGGGCATTTGTTTGATTGCTGTAAATGTAGTAAATATTCCCTTCTGTTTTTTTTTTTTTTTTTTTTTTTAGTGCATAAAATAGATAGATATTTGTCGAGTATTGTCCCTCGCACTACAAAGCTATTGACAGCAGACCACATTGCACTTATGTCGAGTCAACCCAAGGTCTTCCTCTTACTTGATAAGTTAGCTCTACCAAATTGTCAGGCTGGAAGTATACTTCAGATTCTAGGCAAAATTTTTCAATGGGGTCCTAAATTATTTTTTGATAAATAATTTTTTTTTTATTTGTATATTTTAAATATTTAAATTTATATCTTTGGTATGTATATATATATATTTCAAGTGAAAAATAATTTGCAAAACAAACACATTATATAATTAATTATATTAAAATTAACTTAACTCAAAAAATAGTTCAAAAAAATAAAATTAAATAAATATGTCAGAGTTATTATAAATCCATACAAAATAAGAAGATAAAGTCTTGTAATTTTAAGAATATGATGTGATTTTTTTTTTTACTTTTTAAGAACAATATTTTAAAAAAATTGTTGATATTTTTTTACAAAATATTAATGTTTTTTTCGGTTAAACACTATTAGAAGAAAGAAGGATGATGAAGTTCGAATTTATAACTACCGTCGTTAGAACAATCGCTAATTCATTACTTACTACTAGAAGAATATTCTTCTTTCTACACATTGAGGGCTCTACAAACTTGAACGTGACAGGCCTTATAGGTGAGGCCCAAAATGGTGGCCTTAGAGGAGGACCGTACCTTATAGAGGAGATTCAAAACCTGGGCTTGGTGGAGAACCAACCCTCGATAAGCCCAAAACTAAAAATTGCTTTGTTCGTGTTAATGTGAATGGTAGTAAATGGTTTTGGGAGGGATTATTGATTACTCTTGGATGAGTCTGTTTTAGACCGTTGAATTGATTTATTGAAATATATCATGTTTTATATTATAGATTATATATGACATGTCAATCCACGTATTCCTAAAAAAAAAANTGGCTCTTGAATGAGTCTGTTTTAGACCGTTGAATTGACTTATTGAAATATATCATGTTTTATATTATAGATTATATATGACATGTCAATCCACGNTTACTCTTGGATGAGTCTGTTTTAGACCGTTGAATTGATTTATTGAAATATATCATGTTTTATATTATAGATTATATATGACATGTCAATCCACGTATTCCTAAAAAAAAAAAATATTTTGTGTATCTAATTTAGTGTTACTTGGTGACATGACGGATCATAACCATTAAATTAATAAATTTTAATTAATTTATTAACTATTGAAACTTAATACCCGACTTAATGATATTGCAAGTGATATATTTATAATTCATTCGCTTGTTGCATTTGATCGGATCAAAAAGGAGTTTAGNACTATTGAAACTTAATACTCGACTTAATGATATTGCAAGTGATATATTTATAATACATTCGCTTGTTGCATTTGATCGGATCAAAAAAGAGTTTAGATGAGATTGAAAAAATGTTATTTAAGTCTAATTTTTTGATTTAATGAATCATAATTATTGAATTAATAGTAAATGCGGATTAATACTATGGGAGATCTACCCTCAATCTAATAATAATAATTCTANATTATTGAAACTTAATACCCGACTTAATGATATTGCAAGTGATATATTTATAATTCATTCGCTTGTTGCATTTGATCGGATCAAAAAGGAGTTTAGATGAGATTGAAAAAATGTTATTTAAGTCTAATTTTTTGATTTAATGAATCATAATTATTGAATTAATAATAAATGCGGATTAATACTATGGGAGATCTACCCTCAATCTAATAATAATAATTCTATTTGATCAATAAATTAAATTCAAAAAATAATTGTTCGAGATTTTACTTTTTCTCTTCTTTCTTGGTCTCTGATTTCNTATTTGATCAATAAATTAAATTCAAAAAATAATTGTTCGAGATTTTACTTTTTCTCTTCTTTCTTGGTCTCTGATTTCCCTTGTCTCTATATTTTCCTAGTCAAAGACAATCCATGACAATATGTGGGACCTTTGAAAACATTAATCATACTATTACTGTACACGATGCTGCTAAGCTTACATCTACGAAGAAAAGAAAAGAGCAAAATGAGTGTAAAGTGCCTCCTCGATCGCTTCAATGTACTTCACTTCATTAAATAAATTTTGGTGGTGATAGACTTTTTCGGTTAACTAGCTTTCACGCGACTAATTTTTATACATAAAAAATATAAGATATATGTACGTTGAAATTAAATATTATATCAAACTTACCAAACTTTTTTTTTCTTATCGCTCAAATTGTATTATAAAATTTTGACTATCCTAACAATTCATTTGTCTAACTATAAAAAAAANTTTCTTATCGCTCAAATTGTATTATAAAATTTTGACTATCCTAACAATTCATTTGTCTAACTATAAAAAAAAAGATAAAAAAATATTAATAATTAAAGTTCTATTTTTTTATAATTTTTGGATTGGGAGTATTTTTTAGTGATATTTGAAAATTTATTTTTTTTTAAAATTCATTNAAAATGATAAAAAAATATTAATAATTAAAGTTCTATTTTTTTTATAATTTTTGGATTGGGAGTATTTTTTAGTGATATTTGAAAATTTATTTTTTTTTAAAATTCATGTAATTAGGATTCTACTTATAATTTATTGATTAAAATAAAAATAATTATCAATATCTTAATTATATTGAAACCTTACTATAATTAATAATTAATTAGGTTAATTGGAATAAAATATACTACTGATTATAATGATGCATATTTTTTTAAGGAAATTTTATAGATATTGATATTTATACATAGAGAATAATAGATAATTAGAAACAGATGTTAAAGAATAATTTAAAATTTTAAACACATAAGAATATGATGGTAATTTAAATATTTAACTATGCAATGATAGAATGACTTTTATAATTCTTTATAAGGATAAAATAATAAATTAAAAAAAATTCATAATAAGATACTTTTATTCGTAGTATAAATATAGATAGATAGCCAATAATAAGTAATAATAGATTACTTCCACCNATAAGATACTTTTATTCGTAGTATAAATATAGATAGATAGCCAATAATAAGTAATAAGAGATTACTTCCACCAGCATCTCATTGCAAATTTTAACTTAATCTCCTTTTTCTCGGGGAAAAAAAAAACTTTTACCGATAGAGCTTTCATTTGGTGCCCATGGTTTATATTTCAAGTTTTTCAAGAAAATATCATACAATTAGTCTAGAAAGCTTATCCATACTAAGTTTGAGAGATAAGTGTTACACAATTTTATCTTATTAAAAATTTATTAATTTTTGAGTCGAACCCCTATGTATTCCTTCCTATATTGGTCAAGTTTGTCTGACTAACTAATACAAAGTTTCTTATAAATATATGCTCTCAAGGCAAACTCTGTGATAGGAGTGTTAATCGAAACGATTTATTTAGATTTGGGCTCAAGCTCAAGTTCAGTTCGGATAAGATTTGGCTCGAGTTCGACTTGTGTTTTAAATGAGCTGAAATTGAATAATTTTTTAAGCTCGTTTAAAAAAACAAGCATAAAAAGCTCCACTCGAATTCGTAAAACTTAATTCGTTTATATGTCAAATAATTGAGTTCGGCCGCGGGCTCGAGTAGTCGAGATCGACTTATTTTCTAAACAAATCGAGTTTAAACAATTTTTTAAACTTGTTAAAAAAAACGAGTTTGATAAAATCAGACTCAAATTCGTAAAACTCTACCTGTGCACCCCCTCTAATTTATAGCAGCTTGAATCGTGTACTTCCAAGACCATCATTAAGATAGTTAGACCCGTTTGTTTGAGGTATAAAATTTAGGTGGTATAAAATTTTATATTTATTTCACTTCAATTCAATGGTATATTATATTCGGTCTTAAACTATAATCACATCATTCTCCTTGTTTGTTTGTCACAAATATTATCTATGTAATACCTACTTTAAAAAGTCAAAAATTGTAACTATTCAATGTAAAAGACAATTGTAACCTTAAAAAAAGTCAACAATTGCAACTGACTTTTGTATGAGGCATTGTAGATGAGGACATTTGGGTCTTTTTATTTTGTTATACCTCAATAAAATTTATACCGACAATATTATACCACCAGGTAGGTCGTATTGCTTAGCACCGTATACAAGACATAAGAGTTACTGTTCACGTCGGGTCAGTATTATAACCCGAAAATTAATATCGAGTAAAAAATATCAAACAAACNATTTGGCTCGAGTTCGACTTGTGTTTTAAATGAGCTGAAATTGAATAATTTTTTAAACTCGTTTAAAAAAGCAAGCATAAAAAACTTCACTCGAATTCGTAAAACTTAATTCGTTTATATGTCAAATAATTGAGTTCGGCCTCGGGCTCGAGTAGTCGAGATCGACTTATTTTCTAAACAAATCGAGTTTAAACAATTTTTTAAACTTGTTAAAAAAAACGAGTTTCATAAAATCAGACTCAAATTCGTAAAACTCTACCGGTGCACCCCCTCTAATTTATAGCAACTTGAATCGTGTACTTCCAAGACCATCATTAAGATAGTTAGACCCGTTTGTTTGAGGTATAAGATTTAGGTGGTATAAAATTTTATATTTATTTCACTCCAATTCAATGGTATATTATATTCGGTCTTAAACTATAATCACATCATTCTCCTTGTTTGTTTGTCACAAATATTATCTATGTAATACCTACTTTAAAAAGTCAAAAATTGTAACTATTCAATGTAAAAGACAATTGTAACCTTAAAAAAAGTCAACAATTGCAACTGACTTTTGTATGAGGCATTGTAGATGAGGACATTTGGGTCTTTTTATTTTGTTATACCTCAATAAAATTTATACCGACAATATTATACCACCAGGTAGGTA